ATTTTCATTATAAAAATAAATTTTGTTCTGCACCATTTTTGTTTAGGACTCCACTTATAAAACTGATGTCCACTTTTGGTACAAAGCTAAATCTGACAAAGATTTTCTCGTCAACTTGGGCATTAAAATGATGATGTATAGAATCCCAAAAGTAGATATGCCAATAACTCAACTATCACATGAAATCGCGAAACGATTGAGATTTTTTTATTCTTAGTTAGAGCTAATAATTTTATGTCTGAATAAAGGTTTGGGTTGATTGTTTAATTGTTTTAATTAAAATTAAATTAATTTAATAATTTTTAAATAATTAAAAACCAAATTATATTTATATTTATCTATTTGGTTAGTGTCGATTTGTTTTATTTAATTTGATTTTCAATTTAAGAAACCTAGTGGTATGTTTTTCTTTTCTATTTCTCCTGAATAATTAGAAAATATTGTTCATTCTTTTCCGGCTTATAATCCGTTATTGTCCTTTTATTATGATCAATATAATTTTGTTAGATTATTGAAAGAGAAGTATAGAAAATATCATTAAAGTTGGAATGAATTATTAGTTTTATTTTTGAATTATTAATAGCTTTAAATATATTTTTCTATTTAATTAATTAAACTTAGATATATCTCAACATGTCACAATCACATAACATAGCAAGTAGTTTTAAACTTTTGTAAGATCATAGGATCGTTTTTAATTAAAAAACCAAAAAAAATATTGAAAACACCTCTAAATTTGATGAGTATATAGGAGTGTTTTTCACTTAGGGCGCAAAATCGAAGTGTATATAAGTTCAGACTTCAGTTAATAAAAGAAAATTTTTTTGAAAATTATTAATAATTTAAGAATTAATTTAATAACTTAAGTTAAGTTTAGAAGTATTTTCAAACACCGCGTACAAAAGTGCAACGTGGCAAGCACCCAGATGCTTAATCTGTAGCTGACGGCCACCGACCAATCTCAACCGCCTTAGCTGCCATCTCAGCCACGTCACTGTTTTCATTTTTTATTTTATATTTTAACTTTAATTTTTATTACAAATATTTTCGGAGATATATAATCAGAGTCGATAATCTTTTGAAAATAATACGTATATTAATATTTTATTATTTTCAAATTTTATTCGTACAATTATATCAAAATATATTATTACTGTTATTATATATAGAAAAACTTGTCATAAAAATACTAGTATATCAATTAAATCCTAATTATATCATCCTTCTCATTATATTTTTTTTTTTTCAAGAAAAAGATATACACTTCGTTGACAAAACCATAATACTAAATAAAAGGAAAATGGTAGCTATTCAATCTGAATTTAATTAAGCTGCCTTAATTCTTTACTCTTTTTTTTAAATACTTTAGGAGTGGGTTGGTTGGGATACAAAAATTAAGTAAACAACTTGATTTCCTCCCATTTTTTAATTAATTGTCTCCTAAATGACCAAGTTTACAAATGATGATAGAAATAAAGCAACAAAACATATTACTCCCTTCCATCCAAAATAAGTAAGCGTTCGTTTGAATTGACTTAATTTAAGTGTTTTAAGTAAAATAATTTTTAATTATTTTTGGAGTGTTTTGATAAATTAAAAAAATGATATTTATATAAGTATTTAATTTAAAGTTAAAATGTTAAAAATAAATCAAAAGTCATATAACTTATAACTTTTGGCTTATAGTAAAAAATTATAAGTCAATGACAAACCAAACATACTCTAAATTTCTTTCCATTTAATTAAAATAAATGAATTTCTCAAAGATCAAAAGTTAATAAAAAAAAATTCCCAAGGTTACCCTTTTCTCTTTGACCCTTTAATTGACGTAATTAATTAATTTTCTTAAGAGATATGTCACGACTCACCATCTAAAAATGCACTAATTTGAACGGAAAAAGGTAATAGTTAGTTGAATTAGTCAAAAGAAGTTGAAAAGAGAGGTCTTAATTAAGATAATCATCGAAGCAAAGAAGCAATGTGATAGATACCTAAATTAATAGTGATTATTATTTCAAATATAATTATCCAACCACGCATAATAAAATAATCTAAAGGTAATTATGTACGCCAACATGCCAATTTTATTTTATTTATACAATATTAGAGGGGTCCTACAACGAGTAAAATTTACTAAATAAACTTAGTAATAATGTTAACATTATTAATCATATAGTATTAGCCAAGTCAAAAATGATGCGTGTAACAATAAATAATTGCAGTGCCTTACTTTTAAAAAAAAGTAGTTTTACACGTGGCTGATTTTAATCTCTTACACTTTGAATAAATTGTTTTTGAAATAGAGTAATGATAGTTACATATATTCTGAAAAATTATTAATTTCGTATTACCAAAATATCTAGGAAAAGAAAATTTTGATTGAGTATAAAATTTAAAAATAGTTCTTTTTTAAAGTATGTATTGTCAACTTTGGTTCTTCAAGTTTGTTAAAAGAGAGAATATTTAAAATATTGTTGAATTTTTAACGCAAATTATTAGTTTCTTCTTGAAATATTGACAGTCTTAAAAATATGATTTTATTTGACTATAAACTTAAATACACTTTCGATCTGCCACATAATATAACAAGTAATCTCAAACTCTTGTAGGAGCATCAAGTCGAAAGAAGTATTGAAAATACGTGTACTAGGTTTAGCGAGAATTTGGAGGTATATTTACTCATGTTTTTAACAAATTATAACCATACACGTGGCTGAAAAACAATGCCACGTGGACAGAAACCAGATGCGTAATTTGAAATGGCCGGCCGCCCACCGCCAACAAACTTAACACCCTTAATGCCACGTCATTTTTCTGCCTCAAATCAAATGATAGTGACATGGCATCTTTTATATAAATTATTAATTTCGTATTTTACTAAAATATCTCAAGTAGAGTTGAAAGGGAAAAATATCTCATGTGCCAACTAAATGTGCTTTGGAATCTTGCACATTTTAATTAGATGCTAAATGAGATAGAGATTTAAATTTCATTAGATTATTATTAAAGTTTAAATTATATATATATATATATATATAAAATAAATTTTTAAAAATAAATATGAAATTCGAATTAAATTTATTAGATTTGATCAAATTTGTATACCACACTTTAACTTCGTCTTTGATTTTGATATTTAGGTAGTCTGAGTGTGTTTGGTATGGAGGATATAGTCAGTGCAATCTTCATAAATGAGGTTCGGAGAAGATAGTATGTTTATGGATCCTACCCTTGTAAAGTAGAGATTTGTTTTTGATAGCCATTCGATTCAAGTAAAATCATAACCAAGCAGTTCAAAAAAAAAAAAACAATATAGATGAAGAAATCAAGATAAAAATACTAAAGAAAACATGACAAAATAACTAAAATTGAAACAATCACTACTACAAAGTACTCGGATAATCAAAATGAGAAAAGTAGTAAATAGTAACAAAAATGGAGTACCAAGAAACTCTTTAGGGTAATACTACGATCACTACGAAAGATTAGGCAAGACAATTTTAAATTACCTAAAGTAATATCCTAATCCGTGTCATTCATAATTTTCTATCTCATATCATGCATGTTCTTAATAAACAACAACTGCATTATATCGTATCTAATCACCTCTCCCTAATACTTATTTGACTTACCTCTAATATAAGCATCTACAACCAATTTTCCACACCTTTTCATTTGTGCATCCATACGTCTCCGAACAATCTCATAATCCTTGCTTTCTGCACCTTATCCTTCATCATAATCATTTAATCTATCTTATCTATATTCTTATTTTTTAGTCTTATCTCTTCTAATATACCTATACATACATTTTAACATTCTTATTTCCATAACTTTTAAATATAATTTATTACATAAATAATATTCCGCTCCTTTAAATTTTGGTGGCACCTTCTAACATCAATATCTCGTAGATGAGTCAAATTAAAGAAATCATCTAAAGTGGACTGTTGAAAAGAGACATACATTTTCTCTTCTAACATATTTGACTGCAGCCACTGAATATTGAATTGGAAGTTGTCACGTATTGTCTTTGGGTTTAGGGCAATTTGACTTTCACACTAATCCAACTTAATAATAAATAATTACCATCATAGCAAAATAATTAATTTTAGTTTAATTTGTTTGAGTGGACAAATATAAGAAGAAGTCATTCCTAATATATTGAACAAGTTCAAATCATTTAATTTAATTACAATAAGTTTCACAAGCATAATCATTTATTTTTACGTTATCTGAAAAACAAATTGCAAACTTGGTGACCGTATAAGATTTATACGAAATAATGTTATAAATTTATTTAAATTGATTGTCAAGCATCCGTAATTTTTTTTAAAAATAATAATAATAATATTTCCTTTTTTTGAGTGGGAAATTTAGAAATTTTGTAAAACTTTAAGGGCATTTTCGGCAATACAACTTGATATAGATCTCGTCATAGATGATAGATACGGTTCACCAAAAGGAGCCATCTTGCATTATTAATTTTCAAAAACACAATTTTGCTTTCACATTATTAAATACACCTTTGTCCAATTTTTAAAATATATTTATCGACAATTTTGTAATAATTATTTAAAATTATAAAATATAAAAATATTTATATATATTTTACATATTCTTAATTTAAGATAATAAAGTTCACAACTTTCCTATACTAGGTTTAAACAGGACACCAACATGGATGGTAGTGCATTGATGAGAGTGCTTCACCCTTTAATTAGAGGTCTCGGGTTCAAGCCCTGAATATGGAGAAAATCATGTTGGGAGCACCACCTCCAAATGGACCCTAAAAAAAGATTTAAATAGGACAAATACATTAAAACGAAGAGTACATAATAATAATAATTTTTAAAAAGGAATAATAATTTATTTTTCATTAGAAAAATCTAGAAAAAATAGACTCGTGAACAAACTATTAACCAACCATGTCATTTTCACCAATCTTTTTCTACCTATAAATACAACCCTCATACCTTCTGAATTTCCCAACTAACACACAAAAAAACACAAATTTTGTGTCCAAAAAATTACTAATAAGTTTTGATACTTCTGTTATTAGCAGAGAAATGGAGCAGAAACAAGGCAAAATCAACAATAATTTGGAAGATGGAGTTGTTATAATTCATAGCCAAGTTCGAAAAATAAGACAAGAAATGGAGAAAATTAAGTATCCAGCTTTAACGCAACCGGAGATCACCGGAAAACAGCAGCAGCAACGATCGAGATCGCCGCTTGGATTAGCTCATAGGCCTATTTCTGTTGGAAGTTAATCTACTTTTAGTTAGCGCTAAATCGAAGGTCGTGATGAGATGGTTAGGATTCATCCACCTTTAATCAGAAGACTCGAGTCTCGAGAAGTTTTTCATAGTAGTTTTTTTCTTCTTCTATAGATTTGTATATATATAGAGATGCAGGTCCCCTGTTTCTTTGGATTATTTTACTCTGTTTTCAGATTTTGCAGTAATAGATTGTGTTTCGTAATTTAGTTGGTGTGTTTTTTATGGATTCGATTAATCTGAATTTATATTTCCTGTTTTTGTTTATCACTGAACTCGATTAAATCTGGATTTATGTAAGAAAATTTCATTATCGACATAAAATTTTTGTTTCAAAAATAATTTTATAGTCAGGACTCAAATTTGAAACTTCGAATTTGCATAGTCTTTCTATAACTACTCGTTTCTTTGCTTGCTTTATCTTTTTATGTACATATTTTCGTTAAATCATGTCATCGTCAATAAAATAAATTATTTTCTACATTAGAAAAATGTAATTTTCTGGTATAAATTTTTTTTCTTAAAGTGTGTATAACAAACATTTTTCAATTTTATATTCCAATTGTTATAAAGTATCTGATTCCTCAAATGATTTCGATAGAATTTTTTTTTCTGGGCAAATACTGTGGGCTTGTAACAAGAAATTATTAGGATACCGTTTTAAATTAGAATTAACTTGAGAAAATATCAACGATGATTGCAGTTCTATAGATCTAATGATTAAGATGTTGTCGTTGTTTAGCTGTAGTATGTTCAGTATAATTACACAAGTGAGAACAAAAGAGGATATGATGTACGCAGTTGTTAAGACGTAGTTTAACAAGAAGATTAATGACCTTTTAAATTTGAATACTAGAGAGTAGAAGACCAAATATTCAAACAATATTCATCTTTCAAATTTTGAATATTAGAGACAAAATATTCATTGGTGAAAAGTATGTTGAATGGGAGAAACGTTTCTAATTTTCAACTTTTGAAATTTGGAAATTAGTGGGATGGAATTCAACAAATCTAATCTAGTCTTTCCACATTATTTTTTTTTTGGTGTGTGGTTGAGGCAACTCATTGTCATTGGGGTCACAAAATTAAAGTTTTTATAATTCATAAATAAAAAATTAATGATGATTGAACGGCTAGTTGGTTATACATTACAAATAAAGAAAACGATCTTAATTATTGAAGTCGATTAAAATTGAATGTATCTTATAAAGATTCATTTATGATAACTATGTTTTAATTAAGAATGAAAGTGATTTAAGTCCCCATCATTCCACCACAACTGATACTAATAAATATAGAAAATTTTGTGGCAAAATGCTATATTAAGAATGAAGGCGTTTTAAGTTCCCATCATCATACTACAACAGTTCGATAAATCTAGAAATTTTATGACAAAACGCTTATAAGTTTATGTTAGATAGTATGAGCATTCAAACGGCAAAAAATATGGGCTAAAAGGGTTTCATTAGAGTAGACTAGATCATATCAAAAGGATAGTGTAACTAAACTCTAACTAATTCCTCAATTTAGTTAGATTATGCTTCATGGGTGGTAATCCAATTTTGTATTCGTTACCTAAAGTTACAATTTTTTTGTTTTGTTGCACAAAATTTATTTGATTTTGTCTCCTCTTTCACAAAAGTAATTTTAATAAATTTGATTAAAATCGTACCTAAAATATGAGAGAAAATAACAAAAATATACTATTTTGCTAAAAAAATCAACCTTTTTTATTTTCATATATCTAACAAATCTACCTATTAAATTTAGGAAAAATTGTATATAATAGCAAACTATTAATTCAAATTAAATGTTATAATCATACTTTGATTTAATTGTACCCCATCGCAAACTGTTGTTATTTCGCCTCTCCCTGGTGAATCTCGCTCGCCTCTCTAGCTTTTATACAAGCACAAATGTATAAAATGTGTTTGTATTTGTATAAAGCGAGAGAAAATTGTATATATACATATATTTTCGTTCCCCTCTCTCCCTTCTTCCAGATCTCGCTCCTCACTCTCACTTTATACAAACATAAATGTATACATTGCGTTTGTGTTTGTATAAATCGAGAGAAAATTGTATATACAAATACAAATGCATATATTTTCGTCCTATACACTTGTGATTATACAAATACGATCTTCCCATGTCCAGTTTTCTTTTGTTTTTCTCTCTTTCTCGCTTTATACAAACACAGATTATACAATTGCTTCTTTTGTATATGTATACCGAAACAGATTATACAATTGCTTCTTTTGTATATATGTATAGCGAAATAGCCAGCTTCTTTTGTATATATGTATAGCAAAATAGTCATAGCAAACATAAAATTTGTTATGGAGCGCAATTATGCAAATTATATAGTTATAGCATACAAATATGATTTTTGTGTTTGCTATATGTGAAAATTGCTCTTAAATTTAACGTAAATTGAAAAAGTAAAACCAAAAAAAATCTTTAAATTTATTTATCATTAAGGTAAAATAATTACATTTTTCACTTATTTACACTATACCATTTTGTTTAATTAATTTATAGACGTCTTTCCTTACCTTTTTAACATTATATTATTTTGTTCATACTATCAGTTGATCCAGTGGTGGGACCAAGATTTTCCTCAAGGGTGTTCATACTTTAGGACAAGTAAAAAAATAAACCACGTTAGTCAGATTATGAAGATAGGAATGTCACTTTTGTTTTCTTAAAAACGAAACTTAAAAAAAATTAAACAAAAAAATGCCCTAGTCTGGGCTCAAATCCAAGCCCTTGAGGCAACTTTGAATAACCATAACCATTGAGCTATCTTTCTTTAGTATGTCAAGATTGTTCCACGATTTGTATATATTCAAAAATATTGATATTTAACATATATACTCACAAAAAAATTTCAACAAAGGTTGTTTATCTTACCACCCATGCTAAGGTGTAGCTCTGCCCCTGAGTTGATCATCAAGTGAACAAATATAATTTTATAATTAATTTTTTCATAGTTCTATGAACATTATAACATAACATGACACTGAATACTCGACATAAACTTAATAAGAGTAAAAGTGAACGGAAAGAGTAGAATAAAAATCACACAACAAAGCACACACGTACACTATTAATTGAGAGCTAAGTAATTTTTTCGTGACACCATTGGTGGTAACCAATGGTATCGAGTTAGGGCTGATTCATAACAATTTGGAGCTCTAATCGGGGTTAATAAGGTAATCTATCATTATTGAATAATTTTAAAAAAAGTGAGTTAGTATTTAAAATTTGACTTTTGTGATAGATTTAAAATGAGTGTTGTTTAGACTTATTCGAAATATTTTAACAAGCTTGTCTACAAAATTTGAAATCATTTGATAAAATTTTGAATTTGGTTTTGAATGACAATTGCATCTGAAATCGTAGAAGTTGTTCGTCACTGTAACTAACAAAGTTTATGTATTTTTATAATTGTTATGCACTTTATATAAGGTTAATATATGTTTACACATTTTTATATAAGATAGATACATGATTCATAGTATATTAATATATAAAGCATATTGTATATAATAGAGAAAAGACATAAAGTGACACTAGAAGTTGTTCCGAATTTTCAAAAAAATACTTTAACTATGCGAACGTCCTATTACCCTCTAAACAATGTTGAACTGATATTATACATTATTTTTTGCCCACCTGACATAGAAAATGTATGCATTCTCTTTAAATAATATATAGGATATATACATTGATTGCAAAAAGATATTAGTTATGTAAATGTAAACTGAAAAATATATGGCTATATGTAAATGCAATGTGTATGTTCGGCGCTGTATATTTTCTTTCAAGCTTCTTGATTCACATCTTGAAGTTTCATGTATTTGCTCATAAGTTGACTTTCTTTTAGACATGGGGTTCATAATTCGAATAAACTATAAAATAAAAAGGAAAAAAAAAAATTAAAAGTGATAAATGGATTGAATCAAATATGGATAAAATAAGATACATTAAGATAGTAAATAGGTAAGTTATATATTGATCTGTTCAAAATTATGTGAATTGAAATTATCATTTATTACTCTCTGCTTTTAATTGTCATGATTTCCATTTTTAGAGTCAAACTATAAGAATTTTGACTAGCATTTTACGATACGATGTATTTTTCATCATATTGATATGCAATAAATTACAATTTGTAGTAATTTTCGTATAGTTTTTTAATATCTAAATTTTTTGTTTAAAATATTGAATTGATGTAATCTAAATTAACTTTGAAAATTAGTCAAATTGATTTTTGAAAAGTGCAACATGGCAATTAAAAGTGGACGAAGGTGGTATAATATTGCAATTATATATAAGGAACTATCTAATGTGATTCTTTCAAGAAGCTTTGGGACCATTTTCATATTTAACCTCAGTAAATGAGTATAAATACATAGCCACAATTCAGAAAAAAATAATACAAATGGAATCTCATAAGTGTTTTTACCAATTGAAATAAATAGAAATGCCAATATGGAAACGAAAATTTAAAACCATATATCTCTCCAATTACCATCAAACACAATAATATTCATAAAATGGAATTTCAATAATTTACTAACAATTCTTTAAATCCTCTAAATTTCATTTGCTCATCATTCCATAACTTGGAACTACATATAAGAAATTCTAACAACAATAAATTAAAATTAAAAATAAAAGAGACACTATCAGAAAATTGCTAATTTTTGACGAAGATTCAAGATTTGACTAGTCATTGACAGATTTCGTCGAAAATTTCCGTTGGAAATTAGCAATTTTCCGATCATGAGAACAACTATTCATCCTCCTTTATCTTTTCTTTCTTTTTTCTATATAGAATTTGAATTTCTACTTCTCGAATCAAACATATGAAATTAAAAGAACACATAAAAGTACCTAATCAAATTTACACAATCCTAGCATCCGCTACGCCAAATCGAGAACCTTTTGCCATCATAATCTTAAACTCCTCGAAATCAATCATCCCATCACCATCACAATCAACACCACTAATCATTTTCCGACACTCCGCCAAGGTGCAATCCTCTCCGAGGCTTCGGAGAACGGTTAGCAACTCCTCGGCGGAGATGGACCCATTCTTATCCATATCGAACACTGAAAATGCATCCTTAAGGCTCTCAAGTACCTTAAAAATAAAAACGTAAGACCTAAGTTTGACCTATTTTAAATAGTT